GTTGTTATATTTTATATTAATCCTTAGATGGGCACCGCTACTGCATTATGTGCACCACTACTGCAGGTATCCCATATATATCGGTGTAACGATGATATAATTAAAAAAAGGGAAATCAAATAGAAACCCTTCGGGATTTGAACCCGATCACTCCGACATACCATATTGATAATCTGACCGAATGGGGGCCTAGTAGATTTAGAGCCATATCCCCATCGTCGGACATAAAATTATATAATCCGACATACAAGAAATATAAAATTGGACCCCTTCTGGATTTGGACCCGACACCCTCCAATCCCACTAGATCCAGGGCGGGTCTATTTGGGTTGGAGCCATTCCATCGATGTAATGAGGATACAATAAAAAACGGTGAAAAAAATCAAATTCGATCCCCGAGAAAAATGAGAATTTATCAAAAATCTATAGATGATAAACATGGATCGTGTATTATTAAAAAAGTGAAAACTAATAAACTTCAAGATACACATACTGTAATACATTATGATATAATGTAGTTAAAAGCATGTTAAGACATTAAGATAAGTTAAATATTAATACATTAAAAGCAGTTAACATATTTAAAGCAACATTTAAATGGCGGAAGTCGTTAAAATACTGTATAAATAATATTACCTCTAATAATAATAATAATAATAATAATCTACCACATTTCATTGAATTTTCTCATGATAAATGGACGAAATGATGTTCTAATTATTTCTGTGGAATTGTTTATTGGGTACACTGAAAAATGATTTTGATTTGATGTGAAATAATTCTGATTTATGAGCTATGATTAGCAAAAATATATATGTAACAGGTTCTGATGACGCAAGGCTTTGAAGTGCTTATGAAGTGTCAATCAAATATACAAAGTCAGAAAAGGGCTAGGAATACGCGTTCGTCCCACTTATAACGCAAGTTTTTGTCCCACAAACGAATACAAACGTATTTTTTTGTTGTCAAAATTTGCAAAAATATCCAAGTCTAGTGCCTACTTGACATATAAAACAAATAAATAATATATGATATTTATTTATAATAATAAATAAAAGATTGTCTTTAAAAATGCTATAAAGTTAATTGCGATAAAATTAACAGATATTCACAGTGACCCGATAATATCCCATCATACACTAAATCAAATGACTTGAGTGAAATAGATAGTTGTCATAAGGATGAAAGCCAGAGCTACAGCTGTTCTCTTGTGAACGATTTTTTGGAGGCTGAAACAACTTAGATTATCGGTGCTGCCATCCAAATTTGCTGTTTATCAGACCACAAATGGGTAATTAGCGCCTGAAGCGAGAAAGATGTCGCTAGCTATCGTGCATATTTTTAAAGTGCTCTTTCAAGCTGACGTCATATTGTGCGTACAGAAAATTATGATTGCTAATTAGTCAGTTAATAGCGCGTATGTGTAAATGTATCTACGCGCATCATCACCGTTTGAATATGGCGAAGAGGGGATTAAGATGTTTTGCATTTTATAGCCATGGGTCAATGGGGTTGGATTTTAAATGACGTCACTTGCGGGAGTATATTAAACTTGTTATTGATATAGGCCCAACTAAAGACACGTACGATAAACAGGCCTACATGAATGACCAACATCATATTAAACTAAAGACCTTTCCGTGTAAAACATTCGCGCAATCTACATAACATTTTCATAGGGTGAAAGTTATCGGGTATCGTTTTATCAATATGAACTATGAACTAAATTTGAACACTATGGCAATGCAGCTTGGTGTCAAAACGATTTCGTATGTGAAGACATTACCGTAGACATTGGCTCGTTAGTACTTTTGAATTAACACTATCACGACTTGAAGAATATATATTTCGGGTTAATTAAGAGTTAACAGTCACGCAACTGAAAAGTGGGTGCGCCACTTTCGTGTCTTTAAGCAGGCGGTGCACTCCCTGAGCCAACGCCATTCTGAGATTCGTGACGGTCTAGAAAAATAACCCCTTCCAAATATCCAAATAAAAAATATATTCCTTATTTAAATCGGTCGCATACGGTTTACACGATGATACATACTGTATTGTAATAATTCCAATATTTCCATATTTACAGATAGGCCTATATTACTATGAAAATCTTTAAATAATTACCAGTGAAGTTGATTCAATTTCAATTTGTTAATGCACAGGTGGATAATTTATCCGTCGGTTAATTGACAAGAGAAAAAAAAACTATTTAAATTTTGCAATATTGAAAGCTAATAACTTTCTAAAAAATACAGAGCCGGCTAAAGCTATTCGACCATATATAGTCATGAAGAACCCATATATAGGCATGATGTGAAGTCACCGTGACCATATTTGGGCATGTCACATGTTTTTGTCAAGTAAAATTTGATATTCTGGACAGAGCTTTAGATATCAAAACATATAATTTAATTTTCACTTTAGTTATGCTTTGAATTATAGTAAATAATGACCTTTTTTAGAACAATAATGTACTCACAACAGGAAACACTTCATTGCCTTTCGTTTTACAACTATAACGTTAATACGGTATTACACGAAGATGTAACCAATGTTTATTTCATATCCACACATTACACACACATAAAAGAAAAAAAAAACATGTTTAGGTGCATCAAACAATATATTGAACAGGTCTATCATAAATTATATGCATTTAGAAATCAACAAAAATAATGTCTTATAATTAACCTCACGTCAGACAGACTATATTTAAATCATGTTTGTGTGTCACGTAATTAAAAACGACGGATTTTTATATAAGTTAAACGAAGCTCTAAAAGTGCCTGACGTCATAAATATGCCGATTCTTCATTAAACACCATGAGATTTACATTGGCTTATGATGCAGTTTATAACTACATTGCATTTATTATACACACTTATTACTCAACAATCATAACTGCACTATGACCTCATCTCCAGAAGAAAAGAGAAAAAAAATCAGACACTGATAAGATTTACTTCAATTTTAGAACATGTATACTAGAATAATATGCTTTTAAATTATAAATACTACGTGGTTCACAGTTAACTTAAATCTGACTAACTGGATTATTGTATTGAAGGGAGTTAGCCGTTAACACTGTTGAATAAATATAATATAAATCATCAAAGGTACATATACAGTGTTAATAAGGACATGATGGAACATCGTAGGCTACCCTGTAGCTTTTCAACGAATAAAGTCCTATAAAAGTCATTGTGTAATAAAATTCCTCAGACGGGATTCGAACCTGCGACCTTTCGATGACAAGGCGATCGTCATAACCACTAGACCATGAAGGCTTCATGGTTGAGCAGGTCCAAATAACCGTCGGGAACATTGTATTACACAATGCTACGCCTCAAGAGGGCGTTCTGCCAGATAAATCTGGCAATACGGCTAGAAATACTGTCGTATATTATATATGATATTGAAGGGAGTTAGCCGTTAACACTGTTGAATAAATATAATATAAATCATCAAAGGTACATATACAGTGTTTAAGGACATGATGGAACATCGTAGGCTACCCTGTAGCATTGTAGTCCAGTAAACAGCTGGACTAAGTACCATGTTAACAATTCACAATATCCAGCCCAGAATAAAGTAATAGTGTACTGTCCAGTAAAAGAGGAATAACTGTGACTTTAAAGATAGTTCAGTTGAGATGATGAGACTATTCTCTTCAATGTCCTAAATAAACCAACAAGACTTACGGCTCACTTAATCTTAATCTAGATGACTACTGGAATTAGTTTTGTGTGAACGCCTACTCTGGGTTATATTATTACAAGCCAATCGGACATTAAGTTCAATGCGAACAAGGCTAATAATATCAAATTGCTTTAAATATAATTCTAATAATCGACATAACTATCGAATTCAGCGTATCAGAAAGAAACGACAACACAGTCATTCTCTTACACCATCGAAATTCCTGATGATGACATAATTAATGTCGAAATATTGAATCCCAACACGATGGCGTGTATTTCAATACTTGGAGTATGTATTATACTTTCCCATCGAAATTCGTTCTACTATAAAAACAGCTAACCGATAGATCCATGTTCGATTCAGTTCAGATATCAAGATTCAAATTCAAAATCAGCTCAATTCACGTCATGTATGTTGAGCCTGTCCCTTACGATGAGCGATCAAAATTCTCTGTCGGTATCTGAAAAATTCTAAAGCATTCGCTTCACGCTTCTTTTTTACGAGACAGTAAATAATGTTGTAATCACGGTAGGTAGCGTTTCGAGTTATTTTTCCACAGCGTTGAAACGTAACACCAAACACATCATTAATAATACTTTAACGACAAGTCTATGTTAAAATTCAATCATCCTCGTACTTGACCTTGTCTCATTCATTATCGAAAAAATACAAGTGGTAATTTGCAAATCGGTGATGGCTTAAAGACAAGATGATCGATCATGAATGAATATTGTATGTATACATGCTTTATATTTATAATTACAGGTGAGATATTCATAAAGGCCTATATATGAATATATATTTAAAATATATATGAATATATATTGGTATTATTCTTCTTAAGCATCTGACAAGACAAGATCTCTGAAAAGATACTTATCTTATCTGTATATAAAAAAAAATGTTATGCGTGAACAGAAAAACGCTAAATTGTCTTGCGGTAATGTTTTATACACTATGCAAATTGTAATCTAGATGTGTATAAGAGACAGATATAGGCATGATGTGCCTATATATGG